ATAATGATTATTACGCCCTGCAGCCCCAACATCTTTTCACCCTGTATGATACATACGGCCTCCTTGATACCTGTTCCTCTCGTTTGATTTGATCCCTGGCTATTGTTTTTAACTCGTTTATAATCTCTCCTTACTGGCGAGATGCTTCTTCTTTGGCCCGTTGTAACCAATCTTTAGATTCTCTTGAACCATCTATTTCTCGGATCTCCATCCAATCTTATTTTCTATTCGTACATAAGAGGCCATCTAAAAATAAAATTAGTATGCATTTATCCCTTCTTCTCCCTTTTCCTTTTCTTACCTTTATTTCTCCGTGACCCTTTAAATCTTTCATTTTGTTTTTCAATGCAAACCTATAGTGATGATTTTTCTACATCTATTTTCATTTTCAATAAAAACCTCCAGTTACTTTTAATTTGCTATCATCCAAAAATTTCTTTTTTCCATAAAAATCTCACTTCTATTATTTTGCCGTCATCCAAAAATTTTGTTTTTCAATAAAAACCTCAATTACTATTATTTTGCTATCCAAATTTTCTTTTTTCAATATCAATATATTATTTTGCTATTATCCAAAATTTTCGTTTTTCAATAACAATATTATCGAAAAAAAAATGACCCTTACTCTCAACCCTTCCCTCTCAAAAATATAACTTAACAATCCAAAACGATCCTTTTAATAATATTAAATAAATATAATAAACATTACTATAAGTCCACTTTATTTATGCACATATAACATTATATTTCATAAACATATTAAATCTTCCCCAATCAATCCCGTCTTCATCCAACATCATGTCTTCTTCACTCCAAATCGTAAACAAAGAAACTTTTATTGTTCTTTTCTAAAAACAACCCATGTCATCATCTCGTTTTGCTCTCATCCACAAGGAAACATTAATTCCCCTGTCAGAAAATAACTGACATTTTTTGTATTATATTAAATTTATTTCTTTTTTTTTCAAGAGCTACAACACGCCCACCCTTCACAAGCCCATCGTCCCTCTCTCTGTGGTGGTGTTGTATCGAATCGTCCCTTTGAATTGTATCGGTGCGCCTTGAAGAATTTATCGAATCGTCTCCCCTTATGATGATTTATAATATAATATCTTCGATACATTTAAATATATAATCGCGGAAACACATATTATCAATAATGACATGTACATTGGGGTATCTGCATTTATAATCTATGGAACATTAATATGGACAATGTAATATCAGCAAAACATAATAATTCATTCATTTTAAGACATTTGGGAAATAGGAGCTATAATATACATTATTTGGGTATTATTATTAGTAATTAGGAAATATTGATTTTACATATAATACTGTAATGTGAACACATGGTCTATGTGTGAAATGCAATTTCAACACATGTAATTGTCCTTGTTTCATGTAAACAAAATCAAAGCTACATTTTTATAAATATCTCCTAAAATAGATATAAAAATCTATTTTTAGGTATTTAAAATTGCGAAAATTTTCCGAACAAAGATTTTAACAAAATTACAAGACATATGTATAGAAATAAATTTAATATTTTGTAGGGAGGAAAAATATATAATATGTAGAAAATACAATATTTTCCATCTAGGAATCAGTATCCTAAGAAAAATATACCATTTCTACCTAACTCTGCCATCACAATTAGCACAAATTCACAAAAATGTAGAATGCAAAGTAACAAAAATTGATAATATAATGGGCTATATGGTATATATATAAAGAATTTTTAATATACCTTCACAATATAAAATAATTTGAGTCTTTTTAAAAAAAAATATATATTGTGAATTAGTTATATCTGATATATTCATTAACTTACATGATTAATAAAGTTATTATTTCATTTTGAAAATTTATTTTATATAGCTATTTTTATAAAAAATTTTACATTCTATTTTTATGAATTTATTTATTAACTATTAAAAAAGAAGTGTGCTGTTTATAGCTCTTTTTATATAAAATTTTACATGCTAACTATTTTTATGAATTTATTTACTCTCTACATATGCACATTATAAATCAAATTCAAAGCGGATAAATTTTAATATATATATGTATATAAACCCATTATAAATCAATTATATAAATTGAAATAAAGAATACTATAAGACAAGACGAGTTCGATAATTCAGACAACTCAAGGAATTTTAACCCTCAAGGGTTTATTAAAAGATAGACAATGGGCCTTGAATTAGAGGTGTGCATTGGGCAGGTTTTTCGCCCACCCGCTTATACTTTGAATGAGCATGGTCGGGTTTTTTAAAATATTTCCAACATTGGGCGGGTTGTAATTTTTTTTAAAGTAATGGGCGGGTAAATTTGTGATATTTTTTCAGGCTTAATGAGCAGAACAGACTTCAATTTATTAAAAATATTGGTTTTATTTCATAATATTGCATATTATATATTTTTAATAAAAAATACATTTAAATAAATAATGAGCTAAACCAGCCATTAAAATATTTTAAACATTAGCCGGGCGGGCGGATTAAACAAAATTTATAGATAAATGGGCAGGTAAATTTTAAAAAAAAATTATAATTGGGCTGGTTAAATAAATTTCAAAACGAACGGATAGATCTCTACTTTAAATAGGGGCCGTGTCATAAAATGTCAATAATAATATTTCGTATGTACATTATTTAACCATTAGATGTCAATCAAGATTGTAAAATTATGATTGGACCTGATATTACTATTATTATCATAGACAACATTAATTATAAAAAATATAAATAATCATAATTATTTTTTTTGGATTTTAAAATAAATTAATTAAACTAATCAGATATTCATTCGATTATTATTTGAAAGGTGACTAATAAAACAATCTAAAATGAGTAGTAAAACAACTGCTTGGATCGTTTTGCTAGATCCATTTCTACTACATCATGAGAGCAAAATATTTTAAAGCCAATAAATATAATCACCTAAACAATCAATCTCGTTAAGATTGTCTCAGACACCTGATTCATTTGAACCTCAAGTCCTAAAATTATTTAAAATAGTAGGGAAAACGCTACTTTTAATCATAAGAGATCCAAAAGAGGGTTATTATTTATGGCATAGAATATCTATTGAAATTTGCCGATCCAACTATATTTCTCCGCATGGGTCATTAAGTGCCAACTTAACTTAAATTGTTTTTTATTTTATAGATATAGTTATAGTTTTTTTGATATGTATATTTTTTTAATAGAAATTTTTTAAAGTCCCAATCAAAGTTCAATCAAAAAAGGAAAAGTGTCAAACAAAAAAGGAAAAAGTTCAATCAAAAAAGGAATAGGTCCGATCAAAAAAGGAAAATTGTCAATCAAAAAAGGAAAAGTCCCAAAGGTTAAGGAAAAAGTCCAATCAAAAAAGGAAAAGTGTCAAACAAAAAAGGAAAAGGTTCAATCAAAAAAGGAAAAGTGTCAAACAAAAAAGGAAAAGTGTCAATCGAAAAGGGAAAATTCCCCCAAAAAAAGGAAAAGGGTCAATCAAAAAAGGAAAATTCCCATTCAAAAAAGGAAAATCGTAATTTTTTAAAAAAATATATAAACTTTTCAATTTTTCTTAAATTTATTTATTTTTGTCATTCCTTCTTATTTTATTTCTAACTTTTTGCGATTTCTTTATTTTATTTGTATCTTTTCTCAATTTTTTTCTTCTCATTTTTGATAATTCTTTTAAGTATATTTAATTTTCACTAAATTTTTGGCAGACAATTTTTTTATTATAATTTTTTACATATGAAATTATTTAATTTCAATTACGATATATATTTAATATAGTACGAAACAAATTTATATTAATCATTAATAATTTCTCTCCTTCTACATTTTGGGATATAGTGTTAATGATTAATATAATTTTTTTTCGTACTATATTAAATATATATCGTAATTGTAATTAAATAATTTCATATGTAAAATATTATAATAAAAAAGTTGTCTGCCAAAAATTTAGTGAAAATTAAATATACTTAAAAGAATTATCAAAAATGAGAAGAAAAAAAATTGAGAAAAGATATAGTGAGAAAAGATACAAATAAAATAAAGAAATCGCAAAAAGTTAGAAATAAAATAAGAAGGAATGACAAAAATAAATAAATTTAAGAAAAATTGAAAAGTTTATATATTTTTTTTAAAAAATTACGATTTTCCTTTTTTGAATGGGAATTTTCCTTTTTTGATTGACCCTTTTTCTTTTGGGAATTTTCCTTTTTCGATTGACACTTTTCCTTTTTTGATTCTTTTCCTTTTTTGTTTGACACTTTTCCTTTTTTGTTTGACACTTTTCCTTTTTTGATTAAACCTTTTCCTTTTTTGTTTGACACTTTTCCTTTTTTGTTTGACACTTTTCCTTTTTTGATTGGACTATTTCCTTAACCTTTGGGACTTTTCCTTTTTTGATTGACAATTTTCCTTTTTTGATCGGACCTTTTCCTTTTTTGATTGAACTTTTTCCTTTTTTGTTTGACACTTTTCCTTTTTTGTTTGAACCTTTTCCTTTTTTGGATGGGAAACCCTGTAATATATTATTGAATGAGGGTTAAGTTAGTTAATAAAAATTTTATATAAGATCCGCTTTATTACTCTAATCTAAAGCTGAATCAAACACATAAAATTGTAAAAGATTTGTGGAATTTTTTAAATTTTTTTGATAGAAGTCAGGTCTGACCGAAAGAATATTTTCTTAAGTCTGGTTCGATTAGTGTTGTTAAACGGCTTGATTTATGTACATGATTAAATTAATATTTTAACCAAAAAATGTTATGCAACTCAAGATTTCGTTAATAGATGTTCGCCATCTATGAGGAAAATCACGTTTGCGTAATACTTTGGCTAAAATATGGTTAACCGTTTAACAACATTAAGTTCGAAACGAAAAACAAAATTTGGCATAGCCAAATCCAAAATAATCTCTGCCTGAGACTGGTCCGAGTTTAATCGGACTTGGGCAGATCTTTTTAGGGATCTAATAAATATTAAAATTTTTAAAAGGTTTATTCTACACCCCTCGAACTCAACAATTTATGCAAAAGTTTTGATTTTTTGACCCCTAACGGTGATGCCTTTTTAGTAGCTCAGCAAAATGGAACTGTTGTATTGGTGGATCATAGAGCTTCTAAGGAGTAACGCAATTTTGTTTGAATATAGAATTTATTTAGAGTTTTTCAAGTTATTTTTGTTAATATTTACCTGTCTGAAAATTTGACATGATAATTGAATCTTATATGAACATAACAATAGTAATAGAATTTATATAAAAAGCAGTGTATCATTTTATGTTAATTTATTTTGCAAAAATACCATAATAGCTAATAAATGAAGTAAGTTGGATAGAAGGCTAACTTTCATAATTTTTGTCAACTAATATTTTAGATTCAATTAAAACGATTCTTGATTTATTTCATTATTCATGTTCATAATTTATCTCAACCTAAAATTTAAAGAGAAATATGTTGGCTTTATATATTCATTTAATTTGAAGAAATGATTCTATAAAAAAAATAAAGAGGTGTTCACTCCAATGACGCCGAACCTCCTCACTGTCCTCTTTTACTAAAATATAAAATGATTCAATTATAAACATATACTGTTTAGAGATAATCAAACCCGTTTTGCACCTTTAAGATTTTTTTCGCGAAAGATGCCCTGCTCCCGTTATTTAAACATTTGTTAGGCCTGCGCATGCCGAATCTTTTTATACTAATTTTCCGGCCCAGCTCTTAAAACTTTACGAAAAATCCTAACCTGAACGTTAATTTTTTTAGCTATAACGTCTATATCTTTATATGATTTTTTTTCAATAGCAATGCTCTATATTATTTCTATAACCACCATTTTATAAATCAATTGTGTTTTGATATCTATATTTTTTAATAGGATCATATCATAAATGACTTGTTTAATTTTTTTGTGAATTTGCTATTTTATATATTATATAGATAAAGTATTTTAATTGGATAGCTCTCAAAATATAATAAACATATTGTAATTTATTTTTAAATAGTATCAGTCAAAATATTAGTTTTGAAATTCAATAAATATGTCAAAATTTTAATGCCCGGGCTGGAGGCATATTAAAATTTTAGCTAAAATAAAAGATTTATGAGATCCTGCCTGATATTTTAATTATAATGTTCAGCCCGGCCCGAAAATTTTTTATGAATTGCTCTGTCCGGATATTTTTTAATTGTCTTTAGGCCGGGTTTTGCAAATTTCTACTGGCTGTGTTTTGACTAAGAGCGTACTTCCTGAAATTTTGATAATACTCCCCCCTCCATTTGTAGAGAACCCTCTGTCCGCGTAGTATATCATTCCACTTAAAATTTCGATATCATTTAAAGCTATTTAATAATGAATGCAATATTTTAATGATTATTTATGAAAAAACAAAATTTTTGCCCAAAGAGGTCGACCTGCAATAAGCATGTTCTTGTATTTTGTTATTTATATATATACTTACCACTTCTTCTAAGATACATTATATTTATTCTATATTTTATTTATTATAAATATAGTGCCAAATTAACTCAACATATCTATGATTGCAGTAGACGGTCCCTCCGGACTCTTCAGATGCATCCCCTTAATGCTAACTTTTTTTTGACTTCATCTTCCGACACGTAATAAATCCATATTTATATTTATAAAAAATATACAGTAATTTAATGTTCCTGATAACTTCATAAGTGTATTTTTAACCTGTCAACATATAAAGGTGTATTTATTCTTTAAAATTGTGCCTAAAATAGATTCGGATATAAAACCCATTACTAATTAATTAATATCAATTCCATTTCGAGTGTCTTAAATAATATATAACTGATTTAATTACAAAGTAATGCCAGCATATGGGATCTACGCTATATGACGACATCCTCCGAATGTGAACCTTTAGTGAGAATGACGCACCCTAAAGGTATACACTCGGCATATTTCAGTCCCCAAACTGGTTCTAAAGTTTTAACGGTGTGTATTGATGATAGCCTTAGGGTATTCAACACTGATCTCTCATCCAGAATAGGGGACATCAATAATTATCTAATGAAAAACCTTCCTGGTCCTCCTCTGTTAACGCAAATCAAGTTGAAAAAGATATTATAACTATTTCGGTCGTTTTGAACTTCTCATTATATGACTAGGGATAAATTTATATAAATTTGGCCAAAATAATGAAAATCGCAGAAAACTATTATTTTTTTTTAAATTTAAAGTAGTGAAAAATTCTCTTATTGTTTTTTAGACACAATAATCATGTTGGAAGGTGGCTTACCAATTTTAAAGCTACTTGGCACCCTCATGTGGAAAATTTCTTTGCTATAGGAAGCATGGAACATCCAAGACAAGTAATATTTCCTTTAAAGCCAAAATTTTGTAAACATTTAACTAATTATAGATATCATTTTTATTAATAATATTTTTTATATCATATTATTTAAGATCCAAATATTTTCTACAGCCGGGGATTTGGTTTATAAATTTATGTCAGAAAATTTGAGCTCTATAACATCCTTAAACCTATTTCATCCTCATTTGAACATGCTGGCAGGTGGAAATTCTAGTGGCAAGGCATTCATATTTTCTTAAACATAAATTATTTATAGTTTCAATCATAAATTTGTATGTGTTATATTTATTTTTGTTAAATATGATTTTTTTAATGCTCTAGCTATTGATAATATAATTTTGTAGTCTTCTTAGTAATGGGTAGTAGCTTAGCGCCAACTTTTCACTCATATTATAATTTTGAATAATATATTGAAATATCGAAACTACTAAAATGAAGAATATAAAAAAAATATATAATGGATTAAGTTACATTTGGATTTTAACCACACCATTGTGCTAGGTTTTTAAATATTGCAAAGATCATTTTTTTAGAGACTTGTACAAAGTTTTATTTATTTTTTGATTATTATGATAAAGATGTTTATGTTAATTTTAAAAAAATCAACATAATCTAGCTTTAAAGCAATTACTAATTTATCTTAATTATATATTTAGTTTAATATCCAAAATGGATGAGGAAAAGTCTAATATAATAAGTATAAAATTATGTTAAGATAGATAAAATGCAAATAATTAACTTGTAGCTGAACAATATATATAAAAAACATTATTTTCAACCGACCTTGATATTTAAATGAAATTATATATACAAATTAAAGGATACTTAAATAAAGCATAATTTACGCATTCTAGCTCTTATATTTTTGGAGATATCGAGGGTCAAATTATTCATAATGACCTATTTTTACTTATATTGTCATTCAAGTAAAGATCACTAAATACCGAATAAATAATGATTCAAATACAAAATAAAATATGTGCATTCTATTTTTAAAAATATTTATTTTTTATAATGTAGGGATCCATATAACAGGGATGTGAAATCTTTAAAGAAAAAGGGTCCGGGTTCAGGAATAAAATTTAAAAAGGAGATTCAAGGTTTGGAGAACATTAAGAAATATTGACTGAAAATAACACAATTTTTTTACATTTATTTATTTAATCCGCATTATAAATGATATAAATTTTAAAGATTTTCTAAATACCTAGATTTGCTGAACCCCTAAAAATATAAAATTATTTTATTTAATTATCATATTGTCGTCATCCACTGTAAAATTTAATTAACCCAGAAACCAGAGGCCGTCAAGCCTTTACAATCTCAGGGCTCAAAAAATTGTTTAAAATTATTTTCAAAATTATGTTTTATCTAGTTAACATGGTATATTTTTTTTACAATTTTCAGGGGACTCGAGTCCCTGCCCCCCTCTCTTAGTGGCGCTACTACCAGAAACGTAAAAAGATTAAAAAATAATATTATAAACAACAATATATAACAGTTATATTTGCTTTAAATTTAATTGTAAAGAAATAAACTAGGACAGATATTATTTAATAAATATAAAATAGAAAGATGAGAACAGTGGCGTAGAGAAGGTGGGGGTTGGGGTTGAACCCCCCCCCCCCATAACCTCCGAAAAAAGAATTTTTTTAATTTAAAAAGAAATTAAAAAAAATTTTATTGCAAATAATTTTATTTAAAAAATGGTTTCAATTTATAAAAATTATATACCATATGAAAATGAAATATATTTAAATAACAAATAAAAATTTTTAATTTTTAATGATAACATGGTTTAAAAATATATATTAAAAATTATATGTAAAATATTAAATAACATTAAAAATATATTCTAAAATTTTTCTCGCATAGTTAAATTAGATATTTATAAATTTAATAATAAAATTGATATTGTTAAACTAATTAGATAGTTTTAAAAATTTTAATTAATTTTTTATAATTTTTAAATAAAAAAAATTATTTAATTTGGTAAATATAATGAGAAAGTAAAGGTGATCGTTAATATGTTTGGGATTAAAATTTTTAAACCTTTCTAGATAGTCCAATCGCTTAAATATTAATGCATCTACGATTGAGGATTTTTATAAAATAAATATTTTTACTCCCCTTATTGATACATTTTTATTTCAATTAAATGAAAGATTTATTAGTCACAATTTTATTTTAAACCGCTTTTATTTTCTTTTGCCGGTTGAGTCTAAATACACTTTAAATGCGAGAGGATATTAAGAAAATCTCAGAGTTTGAATTATCAGGATCGTATGATAAATTACTTTGTGATGTCGAATTTTGGTATAAAAATTTTGACAGAATAAAGTACTCTTTGAGACCAAAATATACTTTGCAGGCCCTTTCCTTGTATAATTGCACTTTAGATTCCCTGCCTAATATCAAAACATTGCTTTTTATCTTAGCTACCTTACCGATTAGCACCTGCACTAATGAAAGGTCTTTTTCAACTTTGAAAAGGTTAAAAATCTATTTAAGAAATAGCACGGGTGAAAGCCGTTTAAATGAATTCGTAATATTAAATATTTATAAGGAGATTATTCTAGATAAAAATTTGATTCTAGATGATTTAGTCAAATCTCAGATAAAAGTAGACCTTTCTTTATAAATTCAAATTATAAAATTGCTATGTTATTATAATATGATCTGATCTTAGTCATAAAATTTTTATAATGTAATTTTAATGAATTCTTAGTCATAATATTTATATATTATTCTATTTTTAATAAATATATTGCATTTGCACTAAGAATTAAGTGATCTGCATCGGGTCTAATTTTTCAAGCCCGGCCGTGTCCGAAATTATTTTAAAAAAGTTTTGCCAGCCCGAACCCAAAATTTTTTAAAAAAGTTTTGTCGGCCTGGCCCGAATTTATTTAAATATAGAAATTCATTTTTATAATTACTCAAAATAAAAGATATATGTTATATGGCGTCTAGTTTTTATAAATAAAATCAAATATTTTTATTTTACATAAAAAATTTAACATAAAATTGATTTATTTAAAAAAATTTCCAAGGCCCGACCCAACCTGGCCCGAATTTTTTTAAAAATAGTAGGCCTGATCCCGATTTTCCTACTTTTGCGGATCTCTAATAAGAATTATTTATGTTTTATTAATATACTCATTTGTATTAATTATATTATAATTGTTAAAGGTTTTTTAATACCGCACAAGAATTACTTATATTTTATTGTAATTCTATTTTTTTTAAATATAGTTATTTAGAATAAATTTTTAATATAATCTGTATAAAATTTATACATTTTGAAATTTATTTATTGTTATAAATAATAAATAAAATCTATAGTAAAATTCTCTGCAAAATTTTGTTATATGCAAAAATTTGTTATATGCAAAAATTTAATTAAAATAATTATTTTTAACATAGAATAAGATATATTGGTTAAGGTCCACCTCTTCGTATGAACATTTATGAAAAAACGTCAAATGGCCACAAATATATTTGAAGCGATTATAAATTTGTATAATTTTGAAACGTAACAGATTTGACAAATAAATTAAAAAATGCTTTTTATTTTAAATTTAAATAAATAAATGGTAATTAATATTTATATTATTACAAGAACAGTATATACTAAAAAAATAAATTGCAGATAATTTACAATATTTTAGCAAACTCTTAATACTCAAGATCTATTAATATATAATAGACAACACAATTTTATTATAAATATATTTTTGATATAATATTAATAATATTTATATCAAATTTCTCATAATAAAAATTTTAATTAATATATAAAAATGCAATCTCCTTTTATTTTGCATGATGATGTATAAATTGAATTAAATATTTGTTAGAATAGATAATATTTTTGTTGTATTTTGATTTCAAACTATATTGAACCATTTGATTGTTAGAATTGTTTTGAATAATAGCTTTGTTTAAAAATGATATAAATATCTAAAAGATACTATTTACTAGGACTAATGGTATTTCTGTTATGGGCATCTATTTCCTCCAAGACCTCTTGGTTCATAACTTTATTAAAAAATAGTTATACCAATATAATTAAAATTTACTTAGACTATTTGTGTTATCCAAAATTGGACTATTTGTGGGTGCGGGTCCTAAATATTCCCACAGCTGTTTTCGCGTTAAAAAGAAGAAAGATGGTGAATACAAACTAGACATTTTTAACATTTTTTTAAATTTTATTTTTAAAATTTATAAATATCAATAATTTACACAATTTTACTACTGAGAATAAAATTATTTATAAAAGTAAAACATATTAAATTTTTTAATTGTACTAATATAGAAATAATATTTAACTTTATATAAATATATATAACAATTATAAATAAAATATTTAAATATATATAAAATAATATTTATTTATATATATTTAGAAAGAATATTTAAACATATCATAATCCTCGATTAATATAAATGATTTCAGATAATAATAGAATAAACCGATAATCTTGCATCTATGTTTTGTCAGGTATAAAAGAAAGGTTATTGACAAACTGTCACATGACAGGTATAAAGATTTAATATGACATAAAATAATATAAATTTTTATCCACTATTTTCTATTTTTATCTAAGATAAAAAGCTTCAAAATATATTTTTTTAATATGCCCCACTGAGTATTTTGGAGAAGATATCTTAAAGCTCCCTACCTATTTTTTTCTCTCCCTTTCCTCATTCTATACTGTGTGTGTGCATTAGACTAAAAATATTTCAATTATTATCTTCGTATAGCCATTTATCTTTTACATTATTTTAACTAGATATACAAAAATACGAATCGAATCGAATAATTCATATTCGTAGGAATAATAAAATGATTATTCGATTCGATTCGTCGAATATTCAATTCAATTAGAAAATTTTAACCGTAAATTAAAAAAGATAGCATATTAAATTTATTTTGTAAAATTTAACTTTGGATAAAAGAGAAACAAATTTTATTAGTAAGATAATATAGATACATATATAGTATAATAATGTAGAAAAATCAATATAATATTCATATCATACAGAACAAATATACCAACAACAAATTTTTAAAGAAAAAAAATCTGGTTCGCCTGTCATTCTTAACGGGATAGCTAGTTATTTAAAATTGTATATGAGTTATAAATTACATATAAATAAATACTTTCTTCGTCCATCATATAACAATTTTCGAAGGTTAATTTTGTATTATGAATTATTCGAATAAAAACAGCCGTTAACAACATTTAGAAATATAAAATGTTTCTTCATTTTTCCTAGGAAATTTTATTAAATAGGAATAATTGTAAATAATTCCTACTAATAATATATTATTAATAAATTATTTTAATCGAATAATCTCGAATTATTCGATCGAATAATAGATAAAAAATTATTCGACGAATAATATATTTTCCTGTTAGAATTTTTGAATCGAAATTGTGTTATTCGTATTCGTAAAATACGAATCTAATCAAATCGAATATCTTATAATAAATAATTCGTTTTAGGTATAATTTTAACTATTATTATTATAATTTTAGACACATCAAAAAAGACACCAACTATCGATGATTTTTTTGGAATAATATTATTGAAAATCTTTTAGACGCATTTTTTTAAATCTAAAAATAATCGAATGAAAAATTTTGATGATTTTACTTATATAAAAAAATATGTATTAAATTTAATATTGCATTGCCCTCGAGTTCTAGGGTTGAATAATTTGGAGGCTATGTCTCCTACCCACCCCGGTCATGTAGACACTGATTATAGATATTACCAGATGAAATCCTTAACTACGCATATATTTAAAAAGTCCATGTTACTTATTTGTAATAAATTGTCATTTCTATTGTATTCTAACTCTTTAGGCTTTGTCTTCTGAAAATATCCAACCAAATCATTTTTAATTTCTGAACCCTTCAGATTCGAAGCTATATTAAACTTTACATTGATAGTGAAATGTGCATATATTTATCAAGATCTTTAACTGTGGATAACTAAATTTTGAAAAGTTAACATCATCCAGCAAATCACATTAAGAAATTATTTTTTAATAATATCTAAATAAAAAGTGTTTAATTATTTCTAATCTATTAAATTGTTGAGATTAGGTAAGTTTCAATTACATATTTATTTAAATTCTAAGTCTATATTTTTTGAATTAATCAGATTTTATAATTTTTATACCTATTATTGACCAAGACATGTGAAAAGTCTAATAATTAATTAATCGATTGTTTTAAGTTAAAAATGTGAAATTGATTTTATGAATATAATAATGATTATATTTATATTCTACATTTCTTTTATAAATTATCTTCTTCCATATATTTAGACATGATACAAAAAATATGAATAATAAAGTTTTATTTTAAAATATATTTTCAAAAATTATCAATTTATATGACAAAAAATTAAAAGCTACAAATATCCTATAATAAAATATAATATTTAATTATAAATAATATAACATTCAGATTCTATTTGTAATGTAAAAATTAATTGTCGAACTATAACATATTGAAAAAAACTAGACAAAAATTTTATGGATGAAAAAGATGTGATCGATTTCACCAATCTTTTCCTCACAAATAGAACAACATACATCCACAATGTAAATATCGATTCAGTCATATAATTTTACTTTTCCCCAAAAATAATAATTTCAACCTTTATAATTTAACGTTTTTTACGATTTTTAATAAAAATATATGCATAACAATTGAATCTGTTGAATGTGAATATGCAAGTTAATATCTAACATACTTTATCTAAGCAAAAGTGTTCAACTCCATTTCAATGCTATAACAACATTTCTTTCTGTGAAAACTATTATCGGAATATTATTAAATATGAATTTTACATTGACACATATTCACAACCAGCCTGATGAATCATAAGAAGAGAATTATATTTTAGTAACTATGAATAAACTTAAAGAACAAATTAGAGCTTACAACTATCAAAACATATAATCAAGTTATGCGTATTAGAAAAATAGATCCTCTCGTTCAACTCTATTCTAATGCTCATTTCTATCTGTCAAAACTATTATGAATCGTGTTATTAAATCATTGAGACCACCTTTGCCTCTTATAAATTCTGATATCCGATTATAAATTAATACTTGATAATAAGACTTTTTTTAATTTGTAATGAAAATAATGAATTATTAATATTTTCTACACATGAACTACTTGAAAGTCTCTGTAATGCCGACCAAATTTTGATGGGCGGCACATTTTTATTTAAGCAATTATACACTATTCATACAATAATTCTTTGCGCGTATATATTATTGCCATATAAAAATAAAGAATTCTAAAAATAACCATTGTCGATCTATAGGTATTTTCTTTTCTCCTTCTAAAGCCATTATAGATTTTTAAATGAGAGTACTTAGAAACTCGAATAAATATTTCCAACCTGCTATTTTCATTATGGTCAATGTATTTTAAGACGAATACAGGGTAATAGGTTGACAGCATATAGAATACTTAATCCTGATTTTAAGAGATTTTATTGCAGATTAATAGCGATACACTTTACCGAAATCTACATACCATTGGTATTGTCAGAATTAAATAATGAAGTAGAGGCCTTTAATTTAGATCCCATAAGAGATCTCTTTACATACTTTAAAAGTACTTGGATTAACCCAAACGCTAAATTTAAATATAAGATGTGGAACATGTATGATGTTCAAGGTGTAAGAACAAATAACCATGTTGAAGGATTTTATCGTTCTCTAAAAGATTATATAACATATTATCATCCTAATTTATATCCTTTTATTCTATAGCATAAGATGTAAGACATGTATGATGTTCAAGGTGTAAGAACAAATAACCATGTTGAAGGATTTCATCGTTCTATAAGTGTATATTACTTATTGTTACTTATCCTAATTTATATATTTTTATTAATATGTTAAAACAAATAAATGGGAAAAAAGTTACCGAGAGAAAAAAAAATACTGCAAAATAGACAAGAAATATTTTTATATTACACTACCTATACACCTTAGTAGTATTTAGAAAGTCAAAAAATCAAATATTCTACGAAGATATTTCTGTGAATTAAAATCTTTATTTTCGCATATCTTGGATAAGATATTTAATATCGAAAAAAAAAAATTTTAATGAAAAATAATCTAGTCAACAGGTATATCATTTTTTTTTGGATATTAAATATCTTGATATTTTATCTAAATACTGCATTGGTGTATAAGTAGTGTAATGTAAAAATGTTTCTTGTCTGATTTTCTCGTCTATTATACAGTATTTTTTTTTTCTTTCGGAAACTTTTTTCCCATCACGCAATTGGATAAATTTTATATCCATATCTTGTTGTATTTGTTTTAATATATCAATAAAAAGATATAAATTTGGATGAGAATATGTTATATACTCTTTTAAAGAACGATGAAATCCCTCAACATGGTTATTTGTTCTTACACCTTGAACATCATACATGTTCCACATCTTATATTTAAATTTAGCGTTTGGGTTAATCCAAGTACTTTTAAAGTATGTAAAGAGATCTTTTATGGGATCTAAATTAAAGGCCTCTACTCCATTATTTAATTCTGACAATACCAATGGTATGTCGATTTCGGTTAAGAAGGGTATCGCCATTAGTCTGCGATAAAATCTCTTAAAATCAGGATTAAGACGACTTATGCTGTCAACCTATTACCCTGTATTCGTCTTAAAATACATTGACAATAATGAAAGTAGCATCCCTTGACAGAAATGGTTGGAAAAATTTCTTCGAGTGCTGTAAGTGCTCCCATTTCGAAATCTATAAGTGCTTTAGAAGGAGAAAAGGAAATACCTATAGATCGGCAATAGTTTTTTAAAAGATTCAACATTTTTAGATACGTTTCTTTATTTTTATTTGGCAATAATATATATGCGCAAGGAATTATTGTATGATTAATCATTATATGAATAGTGTATAATTGCTTAAATAATATAGGACACGAATGTGCCGTCCATCAAAATTTGGTCGGCATTACAGAGACTTTCAAGTAGTTCATGTGTAGAAAATATTAATAATTCATTATTTTCATTACAAATTAAAAAAGTCTTATTATCAAGTGTTAATTTATAATCCCCGTATAATCGTATCAGAATTTATAAGAGGCAAAGGTGGTCTCAATGATTTAATAACACGATTCATAATAGTTTTGACAGATGGAAATGAGCATTAGAATAGAGTTGAACGAGAGGATCCATTTTTCTAATACGCATAACCTGATTATATGTTTTACGTTTGCTTTGATAGGGGTACGCTCGAATTTGTTCTTTAAGTTTATTCATAGTTACTAAAATTGCATAATGCTCTTCCTCAGATTCAGAAGGATGGTTGTGAATATGTGTCAATGTAAACTGCATATTTATTAATGTACCTCTTGCCGTACAATGACTTAGTCTACATTTAAATAAAATTCCAAATTTATGATGAACATATAGAAATTTATTTGAATATAACAAATTACGTTTTTTTTGGGAAATAATAAAATTATATGGCTGTTCTACATTTAAATATGAGATGTTATTAACTGATATTGGTAAAGTTACAGAGCTATCAGCTGCAATGGAGATATCGATTACAACTTCTTCATCTATAAAACTTTCGTCCAAAAATGGTAAAACATGGAGATCATCCTCTCCATCTTCTTATTCATGATTAATCACAGAAGTCACAATCTCTTCATTTCTACCCATCGATTCTTAAGGAAAAAAATATTTTTGATTAATTATGATGAAATTAAAAAGAAAATATACTAACAAAATATTGATTAACTATGATAAAATTAAAAAGAAAATATATTAACAAAATTTTGATTAACCAAAATCAGCATCTTCTCGAATAGGATTGATCATCGAGGATAGACCTTCTTCAAGGATCCCAGAAATCCCCACAGCACCTTCATCTTCTTGTTCATGATTAATCACAGAAGTCACAATCTCTTCATTTCTACCCATCGATTCTTAAGGAAAAAAATATTTTTGATTAATTATGATAAAATTAAAAAGAAAATATACTAACAAAATTTTGATTAACTATGATAAAATTAAAAAGAAAATATATTAACAAAATTTTAATTAACCAAAATTAGCATCTTCTCGAATAGGATTGATCATAGAGGATATCGACTCCGGACCTTCTTCAAGGATCCCAGAAATCCCCACAGCACCTCCATCTTCTTGTTCATGATTAATCACAGAAGTCACAATCTCTTCATTTCTACCCATCGATTCTTAAGGAAAAAAATATTTTTGATTAATTATGATAAAATTAAAATGAAAATATACTAACAAAATTTTGATTAACTATGATAAAATTAAAAAGAAAATATATTAAAATTTTGATTAACCAAAATCAGCATCTTCTCGAATAGGATTGATCATCGAGGATATCGACTCCGGACCTTCTTAAAGGATCCCAGAAATCCCCACAGCACTTCCATCTTCTTGTTCATGAATATTCACAGAAGTCACATTATCTTCATTTCTTTCCAATGATACTTAAGGAAAAATATATTAATTTGATTTTCATATTATATTGTAAAATACTTCCTCTCTTGAAGTCAAGTACTTGCAAATATCTAGAAAATAATAAATTACATCTTGTATATTAAAATCTTGCATATTAAATAATTTACCATTGCATTCTGCTGTCAGAGTAAATACATTATTTAATGTAAATCCTCTACCATGGCAGGTTGGAGAAGTACAAATATAATAAATTTTACATTTATAATATTTGGACTTTCAGTATGAAGTTGGTATCATTATTTAAGATTGCCACCATAACAGTATTGAAGTAAATACTTTAAAATATTAATATGTAAAAATTTTAATTAAAACAATTACCTTTTCCTTTTAGGAGATAAACAGATATACAATATTGATGTAAATTAATGAGTAACCAAAAATACAGTATTGAAGTAAATACTTTAAAATATTAATATGTAAAAATTTTAATTAAAACAATTACCTTTTCCTTTAAGGAGATAAACAGATATACAATATTGATGTAAATTAATGAGATAACCAAAATTACAGTATTGAAGTAAATACTTTAAAATATTAATATGTAAAAATTTTAATTAAAACAATTACCTTTTCCTTTAAGGAGATAAACAAATATACAATATTGATGTAAATTAATGAGATAACCAAAATTACAGTATTGAAGTAAATACTTTAAAATATAAATATGTAAAAATTTTTAATTAAAACAATTACCTTTTCCTTTAAGGAGATAAACAGATATACAATATTGATGTAAATTAATGAGATAACCAAAAATACAGTATTGAAGCAGAGTTGTACATTTGCTCAAAATAAAGATCGTAAAATTAGAAGATCTTTTATTTTTTTTAAATTTTGTGTAAGATCTTTGAAGATCGCTGCGATCAACGATCTTCAAAGATCTTCATGATATTTATTTTTTTACCCCTTTATTAAAAGCCCAGATGTTTTTCAATTTTATTAATATAATATTTCTTATATGTTTTATACCTCTCCTCCTGCCTTGATGAAAATTGAAAAATATCTGGGCTTTTAATAAAGGGGTAAAAAAATAAATATCATGAAGATCTTTGAACATCGTTACACAAAATTTTTAAAAAATAGAAGATCTTCAAATTTTACGATCTTCAAAGATCTTGCTCAAATTTTTGAGCTAGATCTCGCTCAAAAATCTTCAAAGAATATCTTTTGTACAACTCTGTATTGAAGTAAATACTTTAAAATATTAATATGTAAAAATTTTAATTAAAACAATTACCTTTTCCTTTAAGGAGATAAACAGATATACAATATTGATGTAAATTAATGAGATAACCAAAAATACAGTATTGAAGTATATACTTTAAAATTTTAATATGTAAAAATTTTAATTAAAACAATTACCTTTTCCTTTAAGGAGATAAACAAATATACAATATTGATGTAAATTAATGAGATAACCAAAATTACAGTATTGAAGCAAATAATTTAAAATATTAATATGTAAAAATTTTAATTAAAACAATTACCTTTTCCTTTAAGGAGATAAACACAAATTCAATAGTGAAGTATAGACTTTTTATAGGAAATATTTCGAAATTTTGAAGCGAAATGGTATAATGACAAAAGACAGACAAACGGATCGGACCGATACCCTATTTGTGTTATCCAAAACTGGACCTTGTAGATTAATAGCTTTGAAAAATTATTGTAAATATTAATTTGACATTTTACTTTTAAATTCTGCAGTACATACATTTGATACTATAATATAAATACACAAACGTTAATTCAGTAATTAAGGATATAATTTAAGATTAAATATTAATCAAAATTATCTACTTTGGATTGGTTTGCAAGTTTCTAAATGTTTTATGGTGATGCTAAATTGAGTAACAGTAAGTTTAGCATACAATCTTTATTATGTTTAGATTTCTTAAAAATATATATTATTTTAACCTCTTTAATTTTCATAATTACTTCAAATACAATTTTGGGAATCTTCGAGATTTTTTTGGGAATCTTGGCAATACGGCAAAACGCCTAATTCATAATCTTCATACGAATTGGAGGGACGATACCTTTTTACAGTGTTATAGTTATGATTTAATGAAACATGTTGACGATTATGTGTTTTGGTATACAGTGAAACAAGTTATATAAAGGGGTAAATAAATATAATAAAATTTTATTTTAATTTAATACATATAAAGTAATTAATTAATAAGATTAATGTTGAAAAGAAATTTAATTAAAAATAAGTTATAGTAAAAGAATATTTACTAATTTTTAAAATTTTTCTTAAATATGTAAAAAAAATATTTATTAATTTTTTACATTTTTCTTAAATAAAAAAAAATGTTTAAAAAAAGGTATCGGTCCGTCTTTCTTTTATCATCAAACCATTTGGAGTCAAATGGCAAATTATTTTTCCTAAAATTATAAAATTATATTTTTGTAGAAAATTCTAAAATTAATATCGGCGCTTGGAATAGGAATCTTTCTCGCATCCTTACATTTATACGGTAGACATAAATAAAGCCACGAAAATTCTAAAATTATAAATACAGTACCTCAAGGCAAAGGTAATTGGTTTTTATTAATATTTACATACACATTTTTGTTGAAAATTCTAAAATTAAGACGAAACCAAGCTAATATTAAATATAAATTCAGTACCTCAAGGCAAAGGTAATTGGTTTTAATTAATATTTACATACACATTTTTGTAGAAAATTATAAAATAGACTAAACCTCAAAAGCTATTTACATACCATTTTTGTAGAAAATTATAAAATAAAGACTAAACCTCAAAAGCTATTTACATACGCAAAGGATATTTGCCCTGTTGGCGCCTTTTTTAAACTCCATTTAAAAAAATAAATACAGGTTCATATTAATATATTTTACATTATAAATTTTATTTTATTTTAGAAAATAAAAGAAGAAGCTACAAATTTATCATTGATTCAAGAGGCTAAAGATTTATTATTGATTCAAGAAGCTAAAGATTTAAAAACAGGTTCATATTAATATATTTTACACTATAATTTTATATATTTTAGAAAATAAAAGAAGAAGCTACAAATTTATCATTGATTCAAGAGGCTAAAGATTTATTATTGATTAAAGAAGCTAAAGATTTAAAAACAGGTTCATATTAATATATTTTACATTATAAATTTTATTTTATTTTAGAAAATAAAAGAAGAAGCTACAAATTTATCATTGATTCAAGAGGCTAAAGATTTATCATTGATTCAAGAAGCTAAAGATTTAAAAACAGGTTCATATTAATATATTTTACATTATAAATTTTATTTTATTTTAGAAAATAAAAGAAGAAGCTACAAATTTATCATTGATTCAAGAGGCTAAAGATTTATTATTGATTCAAGAAGCTAAAGATTTAAAAACAGGTTCATATTAATATATTTTACACTATAATTTTATATATTTTAGAAAATAAAAGAAGAAGCTACAAATTTATCATTGATTCAAGAGGCTAAAGATTTATCATTGATTCAAGAAGCTAAAGATTTAAAAACAGGTTCATATTAATATATTTTACACTATAATTTTATATATTTTAGAAAATAAAAGAAGAAGCTACAAATTTATCATTGATTTAAGAGGCTAAAGATTTATTATTGATTCAAGAAGTTAAAAATTTAAAAACAGGTTCATATTAATATATTTTACACTATAATTTTATATATTTTGAAGAAGCTACAAATTTATCATTGATTCAAGAGGCTAAAGATTTATCATTGATTCAAGAAGCTAAAGATTTAAAAACAGAATTATGGTTTTGTAGAACATGCCAACTTTTATAATATTTAATTTCATTTTTTTATATTAACGTTTATAATATTTAGCTTATAAAATCTATATATATATAATTTAATATCAATTTTATAAAATTTGAACGGTTTAATAAAAAAATGCATATCATTATGTTGTATTTATTATCAAATAAAAAAAATGTCAAAATGTATATTTGATATTAATGAGATTAACAATGATAAAAGATTTTTTAAATTTATTAATTTCAAATATAGATTTTTAGAAATCATGACCTATCTTTCATAAAATAAAAAATTAAGGCTTTTCTTTAGGCTATCTATAAATAAGATTTTAAAAAAAATCCATATATAAAAATTATATAATAATCTAAGTCTTTGTCTATGTTAAGTATTTTAATGAAATTTACTAAATAAAATTTTATTTGATGTTTTTAAAAATCAAATTGATTTTAATTTGCCAGCTTTACAATAAACAGGTATGCTTCTAATAAGATTAACAAAGATAAAAGATTTTTTAAATTTATATATTTCAAATGATTTATGACCTTTCTTTCATATTGATTTTCTTTAGGTTATCTATATATTAGATTTTAAAAAAATCCAAGCCTAAAATATATTTAAAAATTGGGGGGCAAATATTATTTTATTTAAATGCTATTTACCAGAGTTGTTAAAGTATCTAAATACTGTATCTAGATATAAAAATGTGGTATCTGTATCTAGATAGATTTTTATTTAAGGTATCTAGATATTATTTTAGAGGTATCTATCTGTTTTGAGATAATTTTTAAGTGTTTACCAAAAAATACGAAAATTTCAGTTAGCATTACCTCAACTTGCAACATTGTAAAACATTTAAGGATCTAGATACTAAATAAATGTTTAAAATTGTAATTTTAAATTTTAAGAGAAAACATCAACACTGTGAATGAAAAAAACTATTAATACAAAGATTAGTTGATGAATTACTAAGGTTTTCACTGTATGCTTGTTAATCATGATTTAAATTTTGATACTCAACAAATTTTAAATCATTTTTTTTAAAATTAATGTCTATATTAGTATTTTTAAAGAATATCCTGATATAAAATTGTTATTCATAAAATATAACACCACAATCCCTAAAAATGTCTTTACAGATAAACGAGGATGCCTTAATGACCAATTTAGGTTTATGCAAATCTTATATAAGAGTAAAAAAAATTGTATCTGTATATAGATACATTTTGAAAATTGTATCTGTATCTAGATAACTTTTTAGAGGGTGTATCTGTATCTAGATAACTTTTAGACGATGTATCTGTATCTAGATCCATTTAAAATGTATCTTTTAACAACTTTGCTATTTACCCACTGGGGCAAATATCATTAATCAAGTGGGCAAATATAATTTTATCGTTATATATGCTATTTACCCACTGGGGCAAATATCATTAATCAGATGGGCAAATATAATTTTCTCGTCATATATGCTATTTACCCACTGGGGCAAATATCATTAATCAGGTGGGCAAATATAATTTTCTCGTTATAAATGCCATAAAAATTATAAAATCTGCCTTCTAAAATATAAATATTTATATATTAATTTGTGCTGTAAAGTAATGTAAAAAAAAGTAACGTAGTTACTAACGTTGTAACCTTGATTTTATTCATAAAAATATATATTTCAGAGGTGATTATAAGCAGTGAATATTATATATTTCAAATCTTACAATTATTATTTTGCTTATCAAATTTTTTTTAAATTTACAGATAAGAAATTATTATAATATATATAAATGATATATAAAAAAATAAGTTATATTATTCAAATGAAACAATATGTTCTCCAAGAAAACTTTTAAAAAATCACATAAATTTTTCAAAATATTTTGTTTTGTTTGGTATCTACGATTTTTTTGGGAGTGTATGTCTGAATCCTCCATTGGCCGATTTGTCCAGATCGACTGTTATTTCCATCATCATCTTTTCAATTAGTTCCTATATCTTAGGTTTTTTGTGGAGAATTTATCATGTTTTCTTTCTTTTCCTCGAAATTATTTTCCTCTTACAATTATTTTTATTCATAATAAAATAGTGGCGCCACTATGGGTAGGGTGAAGAGTATGTTTACAGAATAATTTTTTTTTTAAAGTTAAAGAATAAAAAAAATATTTTTTTTTCTATATACAAACAGGCAACGCTGTCATTCCCTTAGTTGTGATGATTTAATGAAACATGTTATCTTATCCATATAAAATTATTTTCTTTGCAAAAATAATTAAAATAAAACACTTGGAGACAATTATTTTTTTTTATGTACGATTTCATATTTTAAGAAAAGAAAAATAAAGAAATAAAATTATCGATTTTCGAGTTTCAAGAGGAAAAAAAAATTGAAGTAAGTAAAAAAAAAACAGATACATTAAAACGTAGTTGTTTGTTGTAATACCTGAGTGTTGTTTTGATAGTTAAGTAACTATATACAAACTAATAATTATATAAGATGATTTAACATAGTCTGGAAGAGAAAAAATAGTTAAACAAACAAACAGCCAAAATCATCGCAATTTGAACAAATATTTGAATGCTTAGTTAGAAAATGGAATTAATGTAGAAAAAAATAATAAAGCCTACTAATTTATAATTAAATTTAAATGTATAATAAAATTTGAAAGATTAGTAAATGAGATTTATTTTTTCTTAGTTTACCCAAGAGTAGAACTAAGCAAATTCAATTTAATTAAATCATAACTAAACCTGATTAAAAGATTTTTTATCCCGTAGCTGACTTGCTTGCAGGGCTATGCTATTTAAAAATTATAAACAACTCCGGGCCTGGACCCCATATTTGAACCTCGGGTTTGTGCTCATAGCAGGCTTGAGCACCAACTTGGTTCGTAAATTTTACGACCAAGCAAATTAACAACACTTGTGCTAATCATTTTTAAATTTTAGACGCAACACGGCTCGAAATTTCTACAAGAGCTTGGAGGGGAAAAGTTACTTCAAAATATATTTTTTTATCTGCCTGATTGATTAAATTTGAGGAATCTTATAATATTCGTTTATCTCTCCCTTTTCTCATTATATACTATGTATCCGCTTTAGACTCAAAATATTCTTAAAAATATTTAAAAAATAAAAACATTTAATTATACTATAAAATTATTAATTTTTTATACTGTTGACATTGAAATAACGATATACACTCTAAAATTATTTTAAAAATTAAATTTTCTAAGTGTAAGCTAATATGGAATAAAATGGGGGCAATCTTCAAACTCTGCAGCCATTTTTAAGGGAAGCATGGGAAAGAAGGAAATTAATAGATAGTCATATTAAGGATAATTGCATATGACGACTCTTATGACATATCTGAATTACAAAGATTTTCAGATAAAGACAAGTCGTTCAATGCGCGTTTCTTTTTAAGGTAACCGTAACGGGTTCCCTTTTTCAGATGTAACGAGTAACTGTAAGGCGTTTCTTTTTTGTAGTAACGTTTACAGCACTAGAAGTAATTAAAAAATTTTAATATGATATACTGGATTTTGTTAACTTTTCAATTTTTAACTATCCACTTAAAGATCTTCATAAATATATACACATTCCACTAACTATGTAAAATTTATTTTTGGGTTCAGAAATTTCAGATTAATCTTTTATACCTAACAATTAACATAAGCCAGATAGTCTACATTCTGTTATTAACAATAATCATTTATATTAATTAATTATTATTGTTAATATGACCGATTAATACTAACCTTTAAATTGTTTTTTTTATGTTGAAATAAATTGATTTTTTTATAAATTATGTAGATTGATTTTTATTATATAAATTTTTATATATTAATATGAAAATTATTATATTTTTTAGTTTGATAAAAAAAATGTAAAATTTTAAAATATATTATATAAAATTAAATTAATAATTTAAAATAAAATAAACAATCTTTATATTAGAAAACTTTATGGTTACATTTTTTTATTTAGAAAACTCGTATCATTACATCATTTATCCTAAAAAACTCTATGGTGGCAGAACTTTATTAATTATAAATTAACCAATTATTTTAGCGAATTTAAATACAATCTTCCTATATTTTATTTTATATTAGTTTATATATATGGTTTTTAATAATACTTTATTTATATATTTAAATATTACTTTTATAATATTTGATAATATATTGCATAAATTATCATATAACGATTTTAATTATTTATATTTAAATATTTCTTTATATATAATTTAATGTTACTTTATATATATATTTAAATATTACTTTATATATATATTTAAATATTACTTTATATATAATTTAATATTACCTTATATTTATATTTAAATATTACTTTATATATATTTAAATATTACTTTAGATATATTTAAATATTTTATAATATATTGCACAAATTATCATATAAATATTTTAATTATATATATTTATATATTTCTTTATATATAATTTAATATTACCTTATATATATATTTAAATATTACTTTATATATATATATTTAAATATTACTTTATATATATAAATTTAAATATTACTTTAGATATATATAATTATTTATTAAATATTACTTTATATATAATTTAATATTTTAATTATTTATTAAATATTACTTTATATATAATTTAATATTACCTTATATATATATTTAAATATTACTTTAGATATATTTAAATATTTTATATTTAATTAAATATTCATAAATATATATTGCATAAATTATAATATAAATATTTTAAAATTTATTAAATTTAAATGTTAAATGTGTCTTGTTTGTATTCACCACCTTTCTTTCATTTGACTCCAAACAGCTGTGGGAATATTTCGGTCCCGAACCTAAAAAAAAGGTAAAAAAAAATTTCCCGGAAAAAAAACCCCGGAAAAAAAATCCCAGAATAAAAAAAAACCGCATAGATAATAAACCCCCGGAAACAATTAAAATTTTTTTTTCAATTTATATTATTCTTCCCATTTTTGTTTTAACATTTTAA